GGCTAGAGTTGTGAGTGCCACCGACGTTGGGAAAGATGTTTTCATCTTCACAGTGATAACAGTTCAAGTGAAAAGGTTTTTTCCCGTGGAGATGGACGCTCGTTCTGCCACTGAGGGTAAAGCAGTTGAGAATCTGGGAACCGGGATCTCCTTGGGTGGGAGATCAATGTGGGGTTGTGGTTTGATCCAGGAATGTCCCTGCAATCAAAGTGTTAGTGGGGTTGAGTTTATTTTCCTCCAATCTGTTCGTTGCCACAAGAATTGAAGGGCCGACTCAGTCGTGAAGCAGTTAGCTTTAAGGAACTAACGTTGACTTAAGGAGCCAAGAAAGCCCCTTAAAGGAATTGGCCTGGTACCTTTTTCCAGGGTTCCTAGCAGCCTTACCAGGTGAGTAAGGAAGCTGACGTCCTGGCAAGTACAGGAACCTCCGAATGTCTTGGGGACCTCAAGAAGAGAGGAATTCACACAAAGCTATAGGAACAACAGGCGAAACCTGATGGCAAGTCTGGCTTGTCTTTCCTGGCCTCCAGAGGCCCTTAAAACTTCATCTGAAATTCGTTAAAAGAAGTTCCAGCAAACACGTTTAAAAGAACATAATGTGATCAATTGCTGTTCTTGCTGCACTTATGTAAATAATCAAGCCACGTGTTCTAAAGCTTAACTTATTTTCCTAATATGGTTACCTGTAATAAAAATAAGGGTGAATTTAGAAAGTATTGTTTTAATAGTGCTGTCTTATCTCTAGTAATTCTAATACCAGTCATTGGGAAATAGACTAGAGCCTACATTCTGTTTTACTCTAAATATCTGGCTGTAACTCTCCAAATGTTTACAATTTTCTCGCATCATTTCAACTGTAGTCTTTCTATTCCTAGTCCTCATATTTGGCCATGCATTCTTAATCTCCTTGTCATGTTTGTTCCTTCCAGAATGGAAAATCCAACCCCAGATGTTGCTCAGACAAGGATTTCAACCTCTATCTCTGACACACAGCAAAGAAAGTAGCTGATCAAGCCTCTCAGATCCACCAGCGGTTCTCAGAATCATAAGGAATTCAGTCCTACTTTTAGAACTGGGCATCTTGGCTACTACCCTTTGCTGGTCTCCTACTAATAATTTTACTAGCCCTATTCCGTGAACCATGCTTAGATTCATTTATTCCAGACTACAGTCCCTGGAGATTAAAGTCCTGTTGTCATGGAGATTCAAGCCCTTAGCAGTTGATGAATCAACCAACTTCCTGAGACCCTAGACAGGCACCCTTACTGTCCTGATCTCCACCATCCCAGCAGTCAGCAAGCGGGAGGACCCAAAGCACACTGTTCCTTGTGAGCAAGAAGCAGCCAGAATGGTTGTCACCCCCTCACCCCAATGATTTAGGTCCCAAATGCTTGAGGGGGCAATGTTAGGCAGAAAAATAGGTTAAGAGTGGGGCTGAGAGCATAAGGCCAGTAAAGACCACTAAAAAGGACTCAGAAGAGTTAACCAGGTAAACCCGGAGAGCCAGAAAAGACTGTGTTAATGAGTCAATCAGTTGAAGTTCCAAAGTCCAGGTGTAACTTGGAATGTTTGGATATTTCCCAAATGAAGAAAAGTATCCAAACACACAGCCCACGTCTTCATTGTATCTATTAGATTATGCCATTGTAAGATTTACTTTAGCCTGCTGAAATGCCCATCTTATTCTTTAACTTAACCTATGTGCTACTTTTTCCTCTTCCAGCCCCTAATCAAGTCATTTACAATCTGGGCCGTAGACAAGTGTCATGATTCATTTTCCAAAAAAGCCCATATACAAACAGTATAGTAAGAACAGGAAAGTTACCATCTGAAAGCTAAGATTGCATTTTAAAAGCCAGGAAGTTAGGAAGCAAGATTCCTAACATACTCTTTGGAAAACAGGGAAGACGGTCTTGATTGGTATGTTCCCACAGGGAAGCTGCTTGCTATCCTGGCACGGAACCAGATCAGTAAATTTCTTGTGTTAATTTTGCAGAATTACCTAGAGGAATGATAATAGAAGAGAGGAGACTCACCAAAGATAAACATCTCGAGACCACTTAACAAGTCTTTGTCACCTTCCTGAAAAATCCTTAAAAGTAGGAATCCTCAACCTTTCAGGGTGCTGATCAAGCCTCTCAGATCTGAGGACGCCTGCACTTTTTCTCTCTTTACGTTTGTACCTTTAAATAAACTTTTACTCTGCTTCACTACTGGGTCTCTGCCCTTCAATTATTTGTTACAGTGGGGACAAGAACTGAGGAAAATAAACTAAGACCCCTCCAACAAAAGTAACTTAAGCAATTTAATCAAACAAAACCTGGAACTGTATGAGCGCTATGCAGACTAGAATGTGAAATGCAAAAGACTCCGAGTGGAATGTGGAGCTTCACACTGATACCCCAGGAACCGCATCTCCACTTCTATTCTCCTATCGCCCTGGACTCAGAACTCAACCCTCTGCTGTGTTTCAACGACTTCCTAGGCAGGAGACCAGAGGAGGAGGGCAAGGAGGGCGAAGGCATGTGACGATTTAGGTAGTCAGCCCTTGCTTTAAAAAAAGCAGTAACTGTTAAAAAGTACATATAAGGTAAATGCATGATGTGGTATTGATCTATGTTTATCAGGGGTACTGGTCTGTAATTTCTCTTTTGTGGTTTGTGGTCTATTTTATTGCTGGTAATTCGTGTGTTCAAACTTTTTCTTCCAGGGTCAATCCTGGAAGGTTGTGTTTATCTAGGAAGTTGTCTATTTCTTCTAGTTGTCCAATTTATTGGCATATGATTTTTCATAATATTCTCTAATATTTTTTTGTATTTCTGCAGTATCTATTGTGATTATTCCTTCTTTGTTTCTGATTCTGTTTATGTGTGTACACTTTTTTTCATGATTAAGTTTGGCTACAGGTTTATCTATTTTGTTTATTTTCTCAAATAACCAGCTCCTGGTTTCACCAATTTTTTTCTATTGTTTTACTCTTGTTTATTTATTTTTGCTCTGATCTTTATTATGTCCCTTCTTTTACTGACTTTGGGTTTCATTTGGTCTTCTTTTTCCAGTTTCTTTCATTTTGATTTTAGACTATTTGGGATTGTTG